AATGGACGCAGCTCCCATCATGGAGACAGCCACCGACTTCGGACCCCCACAGTGCTGCTGCCAGTATGAGGACAAAGAATGTGAACTTCGCCCCGACAAAAAGTTCCACGAAGGAGGAAAAGATAAAACAACCCACCGAAGTCCCCCAGCATTCCCCGCTCACATCTGTGCTGCAGCGACATGCGCACTTTGTACGACGCATTGTTATCATCACCGCAACGCACCTTGCTGCCCCTCGTGTGTGTGACATCCAAATACAAAGTACTAATGTACCTGAGGTGTCATTTATAAGAACAGGCTTCCCTATACACAACGCACAACAACGCACCTACTGTCACCCGCACAAGTCTGAGCAGATGATAAATGATTGACAATTGTACTTATATGAACAGAGAATATTTATCTATGGAACTATAGGCGTCATTCTCGGTATCTGTCCTTATTCTGTATGTATGGACTCTGCACAGTACCACTACTCTTGCCCTGTATGCCGGGAGTCATTCTCGGCATCTGTTCTTATTCTGTATGTATGGACTCTGCACAGTACCACTACTCTTGCCCTGTATGCCGGGAGTCATTCTCGGCATCTGTTCTTATTCTGTATGTATGGACTCTGCACAGTACCACTACTCTTGCCCTGTATGCCGGGAGTCATTCTCGGCATCTGTTCTTATTCTGTATGTATGGACTCTGCACAGTACCACTACTCTTGCCCTGTATGCCGGGAGTCATTCTCGGCATCTGTTCTTATTCTGTATGTATGGACTCTGCACAGTACCACTACTCTTGCCCTGTATGCCGGGAGTCATTCTCGGCATCTGTTCTTATTCTGTATGTATGGACTCTGCACAGTACCACTACTCTTGCCCTGTATGCCGGGAGTCATTCTCGGCATCTGTTCTTATTCTGTATGTATGGACTCTGCACAGTACCACTACTCTTGCCCTGTATGCCGGGAGTCATTCTCGGCATCTGTTCTTATTCTGTATGTATGGACTCTGCACAGTACCACTACTCTTGCCCTGTATGCCGGGAGTCATTCTCGGCATCTGTTCTTATTCTGTATGTATGGACTCTGCACAGTACCACTACTCTTGCCCTGTATGCCGGGAGTCATTCTCGGCATCTGTTCTTATTCTGTATGTATGGACTCTGCACAGTACCACTACTCTTGCCCTGTATGCCGGGAGTCATTCTCGGCATCTGTTCTTATTCTGTATGTATGGACTCTGCACAGTACCACTACTCTTGCCCTGTATGCCGGGAGTCATTCTCGGCATCTGTTCTTATTCTGTATGTATGGACTCTGCACAGTACCACTACTCTTGCCCTGTATGCCGGGAGTCATTCTCGGCATCTGTTCTTATTCTGTATGTATGGACTCTGCACAGTACCACTACTCTTGCCCTGTATGCCGGGAGTCATTCTCGGCATCTGTTCTTATTCTGTATGTATGGACTCTGCACAGTACCACTACTCTTGCCCTGTATGCCGGGAGTCATTCTCGGCATCTGTTCTTATTCTGTATGTATGGACTCTGCACAGTACCACTACTCTTGCCCTGTATGCCGGGAGTCATTCTCGGCATCTGTTCTTATTCTGTATGTATGGACTCTGCACAGTACCACTACTCTTGCCCTGTATGCCGGGAGTCATTCTCGGCATCTGTTCTTATTCTGTATGTATGGACTCTGCACAGTACCACTACTCTTGCCCTGTATGCCGGGAGTCATTCTCGGCATCTGTTCTTATTCTGTATGTATGGACTCTGCACAGTACCACTACTCTTGCCCTGTATGCCGGGAGTCATTCTCGGCATCTGTTCTTATTCTGTATGTATGGACTCTGCACAGTACCACTACTCTTGCCCTGTATGCCGGGAGTCATTCTCGGCATCTGTTCTTATTCTGTATGTATGGACTCTGCACAGTACCACTACTCTTGCCCTGTATGCCGGGAGTCATTCTCGGCATCTGTTCTTATTCTGTATGTATGGACTCTGCACAGTACCACTACTCTTGCCCTGTATGCCGGGAGTCATTCTCGGCATCTGTTCTTATTCTGTATGTATGGACTCTGCACAGTACCACTACTCTTGCCCTGTATGCCGGGAGTCATTCTCGGCATCTGTTCTTATTCTGTATGTATGGACTCTGCACAGTACCACTACTCTTGCCCTGTATGCCGGGAGTCATTCTCGGCATCTGTTCTTATTCTGTATGTATGGACTCTGCACAGTACCACTACTCTTGCCCTGTATGCCGGGAGTCATTCTCGGCATCTGTTCTTATTCTGTATGTATGGACTCTGCACAGTACCACTACTCTTGCCCTGTATGCCGGGAGTCATTCTCGGCATCTGTTCTTATTCTGTATGTATGGACTCTGCACAGTACCACTACTCTTGCCCTGTATGCCGGGAGTCATTCTCGGCATCTGTTCTTATTCTGTATGTATGGACTCTGCACAGTACCACTACTCTTGCCCTGTATGCCGGGAGTCATTCTCGGCATCTGTTCTTATTCTGTATGTATGGACTCTGCACAGTACCACTACTCTTGCCCTGTATGCCGGGAGTCATTCTCGGCATCTGTTCTTATTCTGTATGTATGGACTCTGCACAGTACCACTACTCTTGCCCTGTATGCCGGGAGTCATTCTCGGCATCTGTTCTTATTCTGTATGTATGGACTCTGCACAGTACCACTACTCTTGCCCTGTATGCCGGGAGTCATTCTCGGCATCTGTTCTTATTCTGTATGTATGGACTCTGCACAGTACCACTACTCTTGCCCTGTATGCCGGGAGTCATTCTCGGCATCTGTTCTTATTCTGTATGTATGGACTCTGCACAGTACCACTACTCTTGCCCTGTATGCCGGGAGTCATTCTCGGCATCTGTTCTTATTCTGTATGTATGGACTCTGCACAGTACCACTACTCTTGCCCTGTATGCCGGGAGTCATTCTCGGCATCTGTTCTTATTCTGTATGTATGGACTCTGCACAGTACCACTTCCCTTGTCCTGTATGCCGGGTGTCATTCTCGGTATCGGCCGTATAACAGAGCACGCACAGGCTTAGTGGAATATTCCTCTTTATTGAAGGTCGCACAGATAACAGGTGAGGGTTCAGCTCTACAGGACTGTGCGGCGCCTCTCCTGCTATAGGGGGTCGGGGGTCGGAGGTCAGGGGTCTCATACGCACTTCCTGTTATATATTTGATATGTGAAAGTTCCTAAGACTCCAGTTATATGCGGTTACTGGTCAGAGAAGTGGATTGGTTGCGCAGATCAGCGCCCCGCCCCCCGGAGATTGTCCGTGCGGCTGGCGGGAGGAGCGAGGGGCGGAGCCACACACATCGTTTATTCAGAATAAGAAACTCATGAAAAAAAAATAATCCCCAAAACGCATCCCAGTCGCTGCGAGAGAATCCCACCAATCACATCGTCCGCCTCAATCTGCAAACCGGACCTAGATCCGGGCACACGGGACCGATCCAGATCCAATCTACATGTATGTAGCATGCCCACAGTCTCTGATCATCTCCTGTAGCATGTCCACAGTCTCTGATCATCTCCTGTAGCATGTCCGCAGTCTCTGACCATCTCCTGCAGCATGTCCACAGTCTCTGACCATCTGTAGCATGTCCGCAGTCTCTGACCATCTGTAGCATGTCCGCAGTCTCTGACCATCTCCTGCAGCATGTCCGCAACTAGGGAATTACACCTATGTGTTTTGTGCCTCCTCACTCAATCACAGAGGCTCCATGACTAAAGAGGACCTGTATAGATGGAAATGATGCTGCGGGCTCCTCATTGTTGGAAGCAGCGGGGCCACATTTCTATATAGGAAGGTTCCCGGTAGGTGTCATCATGTGGAACAAATGGCCACTTTTGTGGGTTCCTGACCTGTACCACCTCCCTGCAGGAGCAGAACCTGGAGCCAGGTCTTGCTTTTTGTCCAGCCGATGGTTTGGCCTGATGATCCTGGGTCATGTTGAGGGGTTCCACGTACCTAGAGGAGCGATATCGGGTCTTCCATGGGCCGGACCTTGCCGGAACTATTCACTGAAGCCATATGTAACAACGGTCACTCCTTTTGTGAGGACAGCGGCTATGGTATCAGCACCATGACCAGCGCTTTGTCTTGGCATCAGGAGATACAACAGACGGGAGGTGGAGGACCTGAGATCATTCCAATAATGGCGGGACCTTCAGATGACCATAGAGATGACGGCACTCCAGGATTTGGCCCCCTGTGTATTGTACTGAAGGGTGACGGCGGTACAGCTAAGGAATGACACCATCACCTATGTGTTCTGTTCCTCCTCACTCAATCATAGAGGCTCCATGACTAAAGAGGACCTGTATAGATGGAATATGGTAAATGATGCTGCGGGCTCCTCATTGCTGGAAGCAGTGGGGACACATTTCTCACATATCTACATAGGAAGGTTCCCTTTGGGTGTCGCCATGTGGAACGCATGGGCGGATTTGTGGTTCCTGACCTGTACCACCTCCCTTGAGGAGCAGAATGGAGCCTTGCTCTATATCCAGCTGAAGGTTTGGCCTGATGATCCGGGACCATGTTGAGGGGTTCCATGTACCTAGAGGAGTGATATCAGGTCTTCCATGGACTGGACCATGCTGGAGGAGTGATATCAGGTCTTCCATGGACTGGACCATGCTGGAGGAGTGATATCAGGTCTTCCATGGACTGGACCATGCTGGAGGAGTAATATCTGGTCTTCCATGGACTGGACCTTGCTGGAGGAGTGATATCAGGTCTTCCAAGGACTGGACCATGCTGGAGGAGTGATATCAGGTCTTCCATGGACTGGACCATGCTGGAGGAGTGATATCAGGTCTTCCATGGACTGGACCATGCTGGAGGAGGGATATCAGGTCTTCCATGGAGTTGGCCATGCTGGAGGAGGGATATTTCCTCTAAGGAAAGCGTCACTAGTATCAGCGCTATCCAGTCTGTGCTACAGATCACATCAGCCCAGCGTTATACCGACAATTCTCTCACACAAGCACACGGAAAAATAAAGCTCCTCCAGGCAACTTGCACTCTCGTTCAGCCGGGCCCTCTTCTTCAACTCATTACGTCTCCAGATCGGCAGCTTGTCGAACTCTTGTATCGTCATCCTGAAGACCTCTTGGAACACTTCGGGGGCCAGGTGACGCTGCGGAGAAGACAGAGGACAGGGATGTTGAGTCCGCGACACGCACAGCCGACATTTATTCATTCAAATAGAGAAATGCCGGAAATATCCTTTAGAATATTCTCTGATGCTGCCATGCCGATCCTCCTGCTTCAATACTTAGAGCCAATGATGTTTCTCTAAAGCCCAGGTGTCCCCCACTGGGGAAATTCACCCTGTCGGTACTGGAGTCACCGGGACAGGAAGTGATGGGAAATCCTACCTAAAGGTTGCAGGAAGTGATGGGAAATCTTACCTAAAGGTTGCAGGAGGTGAGGGGAAATCTTCCAATGGGGACGCCTGCTCCGGTGAGGCCTCACTTTGGAGAGATTTAGTCTCATTTCCCGTTGGATCACTGGGACAGGAAGTAGAGTTGCCACCTGTCCCGGATTCACTTGGACAGTCCGGGTTTTGAGTCCTGTATGTGCTGTTTCCGGGTTTCAGGCCCAGCTGAGACCGAGACGCAGCACATAGAGGATTCAAAACCCGGACTGTCCAAGTGAATCCGGGACAGGTGGCAACCCTAACAGGAAGTGATGGGAAATCCTATCTAAAGGTTGCAGGAGGTGAGGGGAAATCTTCCAATGGGGACACCTGCTCCGGTGAGACCTCAATGTTGGATCACCGGGACAGGAAGTGAAGAAAAATATCTCAGACAGCAAAAAAAACATAAATTCCCCCTCGTACACATCGCTGGAAGTCACATTATGAATCTGCATCTATCGGTTGATCCTGCCAGTCCTTGCAGTGCCTCCCGGGCTTCCTGTAACAGGGTGACAACGCTAAACCGTCAGCCTCCAATGCTGCGGTAGCATTGTCACCCTTCTCTCCCTCCCTGGCAGTGCCACTAAGCTCCACCCACAACCCCACCCCTGCAGAGCATGTGAATGGAACAGTGGTCACATGACCACCGGTGAATCAGCTCTAGAACCAGGTAAATCTGCATTTTTTCTAGTACCTGGAACACACCTGCTTCCTAAACACAGGGCTTACATACACTTTAACCATTTCCCTACTCTGCGTCTTTGCCGAAGGTTGTACGTGTTCCCGGCTGAGTCGGAGGCATGCGTCAAACCCCTGCAGAGAGACGACTGCTTCCCCTCAGGTTGCGGGATTACCTGGACGCACAGTGACAGGTGTACGTTAGATGAAATCACAGCGACCCCCTTCCTCCATAAATGAGTTCGATTGAATATCGTAACGCGGGGGTAGCAAACCTCCGGCCCCCCCGGCTGCGGGGTGGAACTACAAATCCCATGATGCATCTCTCTTCGGGAGTCGTGGCTGTGAGAATCTTGCGATGCTTCATGGGATTTGTAGTTCCACCCCACAGCTGGAGGGTTTGCTGTGCTAGGTGCATCAAACAAAAAGCAGGGGTCTCTCTGCAGAGGTCCAACGTGCCAACTGCTGAGTCAAAGCCAGAGCTAAAAGCTGTGAG